CATAAAAAGAAACCCTTTCAAAAAAAAAAAAAAAAAAAAAAAAAAAAAAAAAAAAAAAAGTGTCTTATAATGCTTATAGTGAAATGCTCTGTTGGGAATCTGATTTTATCATGTCTTAACTTGACAGCTAGCACTCTGCATATTTCACAAGCAGAGATCTCTTGTTCTGCTTGCTAGATGTGCTTTTCATTTATCTTTTTATATGTCAGACCTTTTATATGCCAGCCACCAGAAATCTAAAGGGAAATAAAGATGAACAGTTTTTGCCAACATGACTTTACAACATAGAACGATGTAGGAAGAGGTGGGACAAGGACAGAGTAAACCTTTTGTAAGTTCTGATAGGGTTTGTTGGGGAGTGAAGTTATAATCAGGGAAGGGAATCAAGAAGTCTTCTGGAAGGAATTAGCATTAACTTTGACTGAAAAAACCAAATACCTTCATGTGCAACCTGCCATGTGCTGTGCCAGGTACTCTGAGTCCATGTAAGCAAAACGGGAGTACAGGAGTGAACCCAGCATTCTGGAGCTAACAGGCCCAGCAGGGAAGCTGGACTTGAAGCAAACAAAGATAAAACATAAACAAGTAAAAGTATGTCATTCTAAACTGGAGGGCTTATTTAGAGCAAAGGTAAGGGTGAGTAAGAAGGGTCTGGACTGAGACTGTGATCTGGGAGGGCCTGAGAGAGAAGTGTGTCCTTAAAGGTGAGTAGAAGTTTGATTTTCAGTTATGCTAAAAGTGAAAAGATTGACATTCTAGGTGGAAAATGAGGTTAGTTTTAGATGTGCATTTGTGAAGGGAAATTTCTTTTTTTTTGTTTTTGTTTTTGTTTTGTTTTTTTGGTGTTTTTGAGACAGGGTCTCCTTGTAGCCCCAGCTGGCCTGGGACTCACTATGTAGACCAGGCTGGCCTTGAACTCAGAGATCCACCTACCTCTGCCTCCCGAGTGCTGGGATTAAAGGTGTGTGCCACCACCCCTGGCAGGGAAATTTGATTTTTAAAATTCACTTGTTTATAGTTAGTGTGGAAAATACAACTAAATTACTAAAATTTTATTTACCTTTCTAATCTTAAATTTAAAAAGTACCGTTACTGATCTAGGAGTACAGCTTGGAGGCCAAACTTGACCTGACAAGTTTGATTACTAGCAAACACCATAAAACAAAAATACTTTATCATAGTCAAATAGTATTGAAATTTATTATCATTTATAGTGAAAATTAAAATGGAGTAACATATTTAAAAGATGATGTGACCCTACATACATACTTCTTAAAATTTTAGCAAAGCAAGAAAACAAAAAGCATCGCTGAAGGACTGGAACTCAGTATTCTGAAAGTCAGTCACAGTCTCAATGAACTGAAGAAAGAGGTAAGTGGGGAGACATCTAGCCTCATGTTCTTTATGGATTTTGATGTACATGATATGAATGATATGCATATGTATTTAATGTGTTCCTGTGCCTAGAAAATGACTTGGCTTTTCCCTTTGGTCACTTAATTGAAGTCACGTTTAGCATGCCATCATTATCACAGCTCACACATGGATATTTTATACAGCTCTGTTCATAATTGGAAACCATCTAAATTTCTATCAACAAAGGCCATCGATCAACAATATCTGTATAACTACCAGATACTGGGGGGAATACAATAATCAAAATCTAATATTTTGTAGATAGCCATTACATTTGTTTAAACTGTTTCAGTGCCAGTGTGTATTCTACAAGAAAGTGGGTTCATAAGTTAATTAATAAATTAATTCAAAAGTAGGTGTTGGTGTTATACATTCTTTATAAAAAAATAAATTTTATGTAGTGAAATTAAAAAAAAAAAGCAACTGTACCAAATACACTGAAAAGGAACAATAATGATGTATGTAGCACCAGCATGATGACCCATAAAACACTGCACTGGCGGGGGGCTGGAGACAGGGCTCAGTGGTATAAGAGCACTTCCTGCTCTTCCAGAGGACCAGTGCTTTGTTCCCAGCTCCCATGAGGGTAGCTCACAATCACATGTAACTCCAGCTCCAGGGTATCTGATACCCTCTTTTGGCCTCTATGAGCCATGGAGATATTTGAAATATTGTGGTAGTGGCTTTATGGCTTATGTGTTTGCAAAACTCCTCAAAATGTATCTTTAAATTGGGTACATTTTGTATGTAAATTATGCCTGATTACAATTAAGGTTAATTTTTTAAAAATGTCCTTGAGTTGAGATTTTCTTATTCCTGAATGAAGACATGGTCTCCTGTTGCTTACTTGGGCACTCAGGGAGTTTTAAATCCTCTTGTAATTTTACAGTCAGGTTTGCTTATATTGCCACTGAGCTGGCTGGTTTTGTTAGGCCTGCCCTGGATACACTCCTCAGCTTATGTATATATAGTGCCTGCTGTTCTTTCCCTGTAACACACAGGTATGCCTAACTGCATTGCGCCTCTGTGCCCTACAAAGCCTAACTATTTGGTGTCTAGCCCTTTGTGGAAGACTCTGGTGTTTGTTTTCAGTTAGACACCAGCACTGCATTCTCATGTAGCTGTGGGCCTTCCTCATCCTTCCTCAGGCCCCAGCCGTGCCTCAAAGGGCATATCCACACAAGCCTGAGGGCACTATAGGGTCTTCCTCCATCCTCTGTGGCTTTCCTCCAGTAGCTGCTGGTACTGATTTTTACCAGGTTGTGGTATGGTAGAAAAGAGTAGTTGAGGGTGGAAAGTTTTTGTGACTGGTGCCCTTATGTTTAGTGTTTGGAACTTGTTTTTGGAGTATTGGGAACCTAAGGCCTTGCGGATACTAAAGTGCTCTACCACTGAGCTAAATCCTCAGTGACCAGTGCCCTTATAAGATGACTTTGGGCTCAGTAGATGCTTCAGCTGACTCTGTCTCATGGATGCTTTTCAGACTGTTTTTCAGAAGTTCTGTATCGCCACACCTCTGAACTATGACTCTGAGGTCATACTGTTCCCTCCAGAAGCTCCACAAAAACCTCTTCTCATCCTTTATCTTTAATTTGTTGATTCTTTTCTGCATCTGAAGCCAGGCAAAATCTCTAGAGAATAAAATTAGGCTCTGGATGTTTCTTATATAAATTGTATAAATTTATATGATTGTATAAATACATGGTCTATTTCATATCTTAACTTGGAACTGACCTCCTCCATTTAAATTTCCTGTTAAACACAAGGATGTGGTTTTCCCATTCATTTTATTTCAGTGTATTCCACTTTAATGGATTGTTAAAATCCTGAGCTATGAGTCCAGAGTGCCTTTAGTAGGAGGCTGGCTTTCCATATGCTTCATTTTCTTAGCTCTTGAATGGATATAACTAGATTAACCTTGAAGTCTTCTAAGGATTAAGAGAGATGACATGGAGAAAGCTGCCATTGGGCATTACACAAGAGGCAGAAAGTGTTTGTTTTTCCTCTTTTATAGTTGAAAATGAGTTGTTCCCCAGGACCTTTTCTAGCAAGTCATTCAATCTCTGTGAACTGTTTCAGTCTTTAAATAAAGGCTTAGCTTAAATATTCTCTAAGGCCCTGCTGGTTAAACAAGATCTTTTTTTAAAAAATATTTTATTTATTATTTTTATTTTGTGTATGAGTGTATTGCCTGCATGTAGGTAAATGCACCCATGTCATGCAATGCCCACAGAGGACAGAAGAAGCTGTCGGATCCCCTGGAACTGGAGTTACAGACAGTTGTTAGCTGCCATATGGGTGCTGGGATTTGAACCCGGGTCTTCTGCAAGAACAACCAGTGTTCTTAACTGCTGAACCATCTCTGCAGCCCCAACAAGATCTTTTTTAATTCTTCTGGGGCATTTAGTTTCCAAAGAAAAGTGAATCTTAATGTCTTTGTTTCTGACTGTAATTAGTCTGACTTGGTTGATGTAAGGCATACAATTCTACTGTTAATTTTGCACAGAGCCCTGTCATTTGAATTGACATCAAATTACTTTAAAAGAAAAATAGAAATTGCGTCATTGGATTTAACAGGCTTTAAAAGAGATTTAAAAGCCTTTATTTAATTGAAAGTCAGACTTTCCTTAAAATAATGTTTTTGTTGAAACGACTTACCTATTTTGGGGGGCTGGCCGGGAGATGACTTCTAAACTACTTGTCACATCATTAAAAAACAAAAGAAAGGGGGCTGGGGAGATGGCTCAGTGGTTAAGAACACTGGTTGCTCTTGCAGAAAACCCGGGTACGAATCCCAGCACCCACATGGCAGCTAACAATTGTCCGTAACTCCGCTCCCAGGGGCTCCAACAGCTTCTTCTGACCTCCACGGGCATTGCATGACACGGGTTCACTTACCTACATACAGGCAATACACACACACACATAAAATAAAAATAATAAATAAAATTTAAATAACCAAAAAAACCCAAAATGGGGCTAGAATGGTGGCTCAGCAATGAAGAACACTTGCTGTTCTTCCAGAGGACCTGGGTTCAATTCTTAGTACCCACATGGCAGTTAACAACCATCCATAGCTCCCGTTTCAGGGGTTCTGACACCCTCTTCTGGCCTCCATGGGTATTGCACACATGTGGTGCACTTATATGCAGACAAAACACTCATACACGTAAAATAATAATAAAAGTATTTAAAGCAACTCAGGAGGCAGAGGCAGGTGGAGGTCTGTGAGTTCAAGGCCAGCCTGGTCTACGTAGTGAGTTTCAGGCCAGCTGGGCCTACAGGGAGACCCTGTCTCAGAAAGACCAAAAAAAAAAAAAAAAAAAATTAAAACAAATAAAAACACAGTATTTTAGAGGCAATGGTACTCAAAGATATGCAGTTAGAGTGAATGCTCAAAATCAGTTCTACCCTGGTTGTATTAAACTTCAGGGGTTTTGTTACCTTTTTATTTATTGTTTCTGCTAGGACCTGGTTTGTTCTTTGAACAGAGTTCTGGATAGCAATAACAGATAGACTATAATCCCCTGAGGGCAGGCACTGGGTCCTGTCTGTGTCTAGCCTCTAGTTCAGTTCCTGTCATGACATAGGTGTTTAATAACGTTTTATTGAATTGCTTAAATCTCACAGTGATAGCATACTTTTTTAGCAGTACGCTAAACTTTTTTTAAAGCTAGAGATTGAACCCAAGGCCTTGTAACATGCTAGGCAAATATTCTACCACTGAGCTACTCAGCCCAAGTATTGCTTTATTTTCAGACCCTGCCTGGCCTTGATCTTGCTATGTAGATCAGGGTGGACTCCAACTCACAGAGATCCTCCTGCCTGTGCCTTCTAAGTACTGGGATTTTATTAAGGCAAGTGACACCATGCCTGGCCCTAAAAACTTTTTTAATAATTGTAGCCTGCTATTTGGTTTTCCTTGTAGTACTCTGAACACTAATAGACTCTTAATACTGTTCCACGTCTCACCATCTTTGTCAGTAGCAGAAGCAGTTGTAACTAGGAGAGAAGCTGTGGGGAAACCTAGCTGATAGTAGAAAGCAGAAGAGCCCAGGCTTCTTGGCCACAGATGACCAGGGCATCTTCTCCAAACAGCAGTACTGCTGGCACCAGTGACTCAGTGACTTCACCCTGCTAATGGGAGGACTTACCTGCTTCTCTTACAGGGGAGATCAGGGTCCCCTTCTAGGGTCTAGTCTCATTCATCAAAGAATCTTAAGATGGAAGCCTTAGGGCAATTTTATTAGAATTTGAAGGAGAAAATCCTAAGAGCAGGCAAGCCATAAATCTCAGCAGCTACCTTGAGGAGGAGAATGGAAGGGAGAAGGAAAAAAGCCATAAAGTATGCTGGTTTAGAGCCTGCATGGAGGTCAGACAGACACCACTTGGATGACTAGCAGCCACATGGTGGGGAGGGGAAGGGAGTTATAGAGAAAAGGGTAAAGAAACATAAAACTGAACAGCCCAAAGCATTAAGGAAAGCGTGGCTAGAAAAGAGATATAAAGAAGAAAAGGAGAGGTTATGCTTTTCTGAAGAATTCAGAAAAGTGGAAAGTGGATTTGAGACTTGATCCACAAGAATTGCACTAAGGGGCATGGATTCTGAGCAGGAAAAGCTAAACATCTCATTAATGCACCAGGTATTCCACCATCTCTTTAGTATCACTTAAGGTGAACCCGCCTTCCTAAGTGAACATGTGCCCTGGTGATCTGGCAAAACTGGAAAGTTGGGTCTTCATCCAGCCTAAGAATCTTAACTTTTGACCATTGTTAAGGGGTTTTTACTGTAACACTTCTGGTTGCTTACAGGGCTTCTGCTAGGACCAGGGAATGTTGTACTTTCAGCAGACCCAGCTGGACTGCTTTGAGGTTCTATGCTGTAGTTCTTGTCAGGTGCTTGGTCACAGAACCTTATTGCTTGTTTTTCTGCCTTCACCGCCCTTCACCCCCACACCTGCAGCTTCATAGTACAGCGATGCAGCTGGCAGCAGACCTCTTAAAATTCCATGCTGATCATATGGTTTTGAAAGCATTAAAACTTACTGGAGTAGAAGGAAATTTAGAAGCTTTGGCTGAATACGCCTGTAAACTCTCTGAAGAGAAAGAACAACTTGTTGAGGTGAGTAATGGATTTGCTTATAAAACAAATTGTAATTTCCAATACAGTAGCTGAATTATCTCGAGAATCTTAACTTAGGTGTAGTTTCTGGTTAATTTATCTGAGCAGTTTTTTCCCTCTTCTATTTGGAACCTTAAGGGTACAGATTTGTCTGTTTTCATAACAGTCTGGCCTCTAAAACAAAACAATAAAATAGGCTAGAATCCGTAAGTGCGTTTGCAATCTCCTTTTTGTCTTCAGACCATGCCCTGGAGTAGAGCAGTGAAGGAATACTTAATAGGTTTGTTTCTGTTTGATTTGCTCGGATCTCCACAGGGAGGAGCTGGCCCAGTGACGTCAGTGACCGTACAAGGGCTTAGAATTCACAATATTGCATAGAGAGTGTGCGGGAAGCCTGGAATGAGAGTATAGTCATTGGAGCTGTGAAAGCAGAGGTGATGCCACTCTAGGCCCGAATTGACAGGGGAAGCAGAACCTGGATGTCTGAGAACTCCCTGAGAGGTTATAGATTGTGGATGAGGCACCACTGCTGAGCTACTGCCCAACTTTCCATTGGTCAAACACAGCTGTAGACAACCCAGGTTAGTTTCCCAGGGCAGAAAGCAGATTCGAGAAGGAAAAAGAGTAGACAAGGAGGGACAGGGCAGACTGGTTCTACCTGAACCTCTCCTGCCTGCTCCAGTCTCTGTTGAGTGTTAGTCACCTGCCACTTGCATTATAATTTCAGTTTGGCTTAATTGATATTCTAAGCCTTCTACTTATTGAAAGATTACCATTACCATGTATCTGCTGTGTTAAAAGAACAAAACTAAAACTTTTTTTTCCCCCTGGAACTCAGTATGTAGCCCAGGCTGGCCTCGAAATGATAGAAATCCACTTGCTTCTGCCTCAAGTGCTGGGATTACAGCCATGCACCCCCAAACCTGAAAAAACTGAAAACCTTGATCATGTATGCTGTGTATGCATGAGATCTGTTTCTGACCAGTGTATACAAATAAGGTCTCTACATTGTCTACTTACTTTACTATGCTCAACAATTCTCAAAGACTGGTGGTAAAAGAGAGTCTTTAGATTATTGGAACTGGATTCCTCTCCTGTGTCTACCTAGCAGCCTGGAAACTTCTAGGGGTCCTTCTCACGGCTGTATGTGTTTTCTTTGTTACTCCCATGTGTATTAATCCAATCCTGTGGCTGTGGGGAAACTAACTTTAGAAAACCTACGGCACATCTTTTAAATAGCAAAATGAAATTTAAAATTTTTTCTGTTTGAAGCCTCGAGACTTTCAATAATTTTCTCTAAAGGAGGCTTTCTGATTTAGAGAGCCAGTCTGCCTAATCCATGGTTATCTTGAAGAAGAAAAGCATGGCAACTAATTGTGAGGGGAAGTACTATTTCTTGATAGAATGTGGGGCTGGAGAGATGACTTAGTGGTTAAGAGCACTGGCTGCTCTTGCAGAAGACCCAGGTTCAGTTCCCAGCACCCACATGGCGACAAACAACCATCTGTAACTCCAGTTTCAGAGGATCCAACACCCTCTTATGACCTTTGCAGGCATTGCATCACACAGGTACACTTATATACATGCAGGCTCATATACATAAAATAAAAATGTAAAAAATAAGAGGTTGGAGAGATGGCTCAGCAGTTAAGAGCACTGACTGCTCTTGCAGAGGACCTGCCTTCTTCTGACCTCCATAGGCATTGCACAACATGGGTGCACTTACATACATGCAGGCAGTACACTCATACACATAAAATAAAAATAATAAATAAACTGGGCATGGTAGCTCATGCCTTTAATCCCAGCACTTGGAAGGCAGAGGCAGATGGATCTCTGAGT